GTGGCTACAAAATTCAGCCAGAGCTTTGGAAATGAAATGTTATTTGCAGCGTTACCAGCTGCTTCAGCCCACGGCTGCTATTCACATGGCTTCTCCAGAGAGCCCAGGGACACGGTGTGCTACCGCAGCTACACAACCCAAATGGCAAGGAGGGAAGGAGACCCAACTGGAAAGAATTCAGGGCATGAGATCCCCTGTGCCAAGGAAGAAATTACAACATAGGTTTAGTCCACTTAATAACCACCAAAGGCATACAGGGGACAATGTATTCAGCTGTTGAGTTTTGATACATGCCAAGGAGTTCTCTTCTGGACTTGGACTTTTCTTCCCAAACCACTGAAGTTTTTAGCTGAATCCTTGAGATACCACTTACACAAAACACTAATGCACACCTCAGGTCTCTTCCCGGTTCTGCTTTCCTGTCCTGTCCCCAGCCCAGCCTCAGCCCTGTGGATGGAGCAGCAGAGGGGGACAAAGCTGTGGTGGCACAGGGATGGGCACATGGTCCCAGCACAGTGCCCATACCCCCTGGGAGCAGAGGAGTTTTCCTGGCATGAAGCAGGCACTGGAGAGTCGCTGACTGGGCTTCTTTTTCAAAGAAGTGGTCTCTGGCAGCGAGAGCTGCATGCACTAAGCTTGCACGTGTAGGCACCTCCTTCCTCCTACTGTGTGACTGGAAGATGAGGTCTAATCAAATGCAACATAAAAACTCATTTATTGAGGCACATGTAGCTAGTCTTGTTAAAGAACAGAGGCAACTGTCAAAGAAGTATCAGAATTTGAGTTTCCCATATAAATAAAAGACAGAGTATAACAGCAAAGTCTCCCTTGCTTCGGCTTTTAAGCAAGGAGAATCTCCTTAGAGGATGGGTTATAAAGCTTCTGAGTAGTTTATGCGATCTTCAGAGACTGCTTACTCTCTTCTGTTGTTTACATCAACCTTTGAGTGAAATGGTTACTTAGCCTTACTGTGTGATTTTTATGCTTTTTGTGGTGTCACTTCATTGCACAATAGGGATGTTCTGGCCCCTTTTATGTGCGTGCTTGAGGCCTGACTGTATACTGGGAAGACTCTGTTTTTTTAAAAACACATATCTGATATATATACTTGCATTTTTGAACTGTAAAAAAATCTCTGTCAATCATTTACTACAGGGCAACAAAGCTGGGCATCAGTAGGCACGCTGCACTGCAGAGCAATCCCCTTAGAGCAACGGATACAGGGCTACGGAAACCAAACGCTGAGCTGCCCAAGACCCAGAGTTCACATCTGCCCCAACCACAGGCGAGGTCACCGGCCGCTCGGTGCCGTCAGCTGAGCGGCGCCTGCTCTCCGGCTCCTGGTTCTGGCATTGCCTTCCCTGCTGCTGCTGCTGGTGGGGTGGGCGGCTGTGGCCAGGCAGACCGGCCTCTGCGCCTGCTGCAGGGACACCATCCCCTTTCCTCCCAACTCCTTTCTGTTTGTGCATTGTTGCGGTTGTTGCCAGGCAGGCCGGCCTCTGCGCCTGCTGCAGGGACACCATCCCCTTTCCTCCCAACTCCTTTCTGTTTGTGCATTGTTGCCTTTTTTGTTTTGTTTTGTTTGTTTTCCTTCTTTCTTTGCCACTGGCCATCTTTTTGCCATGTGCTGGATAAAGCACAAGTACCACAGAAATTACTTCAAAGTACCAAGCACAGAATAAACAGATGGGAGTTTCTTAGGTTATTTAATCTGATCACCCTTCCTATCAAAATCCTACTTCGGTTTTCAATAAGGTAGCTGTGAACAAGCCCCTTTTCTTCCTCCTTAGCGTCACCTCTTGCTCACTGCGTTAGGATGCCTGGAGACTGTTTCTGTATTTTCTCCCTCCTGTTGAGATGCTGTTATAGCACTGAAATAAAACCTGACTCAGGTTTATGGGTACCAAAATTCAGGCCCACCTACTGTTTGGTTTGCAGTGCTGCCTGAAATATCATTTTAATTTCGTATTAGTTGTTTGCCAAAGAAGAAGCCCAATTAAAGAGATGAAAAGGAAATCCGTTAATGGCACTTTTCATGAGGAACTCCCTGATAACAAAGCAGCATGTGTGCTAACACAGAAAGTGGAGAGATGCTGAGCCCTACTGTGCCTGTCAGCTTGGCTTCTACGTGCAGGGGAAAGAGAACAAAATTTACAAGGATGCTACTCTCTGAAGTGCTACACGCACTGCTGGTGAGCCCGGGAAGGAAACAAAGACAGCCATTCAAAATAACTGAAGAACAGCCGTAGCACTAAGTGGATGCACTAATAAAGCCACCAGACTTAGATTTTAAAGGGTTTAAGGGTGAACTGAATTATTATTTGCTTAAATACAAAAAGCACTTTTGGAATAATAACCCCTTAAAAATAAAAAAAAAATCTCACAAGATATTACAGCCCAGTATTTCAGCTTCCCGAGGCTTTGCTCTTTTTTTTTCCCCACCACTGAGCATAGGGTTTTATTAAGATTATAAAATTAGGCCTTTCAACAGTTCCGATGTGGTATTTTTGGGGGCTAAACTACCATTTTTTGATAATAGTATGCAAGCAGGAGAAGGGATCTGCAAAGCACCAGAAAGCTCTCCAGGCGTCCCCACAGACTGCAAGGGCCTCCCCTTTTGGAGGCTACCCAGAAACCCGGCAAGCCCCTGTTTGTCCAGCTCAGCAGCCAGAACTGGGGTTGACGTGAACACAAACTGTAGGCGCTTATTTAAAAATAACTCGCACAAACTTAAAACCCACACTGAACTATTTATTTTGTGCATTCACCTTTTACTGCGGCCCATGATAACATCACATACTTCCAGCTGCTGAAGGGAGCCAACAGAAATTGCTTCCACCACCTGAAGCCGACGGTCAGCTACTCAGCCTGCAATCCACCCCGTGAGATGACACCATCAGGCTCCTTAACGACAACCAGTGGTGCTGGATTTTCAGCAGCAGAGCTACATTATAGCGTGCATGAAGTTGCTAGGAAATCACTTCAGAAGAGCAGTGTGATGGATTCAAGTTAGAAACAGGGAGTACAATAAATGCCCCAAAGGTACCTTTGAAGTGTGACGTTCCCGAGAAATTTTTTAACAAAGGGAACTGAAGATGGCCAGTCTCCACGTACCGCACTCAGAGCAGTATGGAGGTAGTCTATCAGGTCATCCGCCAGCAGATATTAAGCATTAACCTATTTCAAATGCTATGCATATTTACTGACAGAAGCTGAATAGGTCAAACGGGTTTCTAGTTCACAATAAAAGATGAAATGGTGTTTTGTTCTATATATGAATAGCTGCTCATGTAAATCATTGTGTGGATGCAAGGGTTATTGGGGCTGTTGCATTGTTGCCTCCTGTTTCTAAAGAATTGTGTATTTTACCCCATGAAACAAAGCCTAGAGTGAAAAGAATCAAGCTTTAAAACAAGGTTATAAAGAACAATGAGACTACCACACAGAGCACGTGGCTTCTGAGAGCAGAAAACAAGTTTAATAAAACAGACTTCTCGCACATCGGGTTGACAAATTCATACTCCTCCTTGCTGTAGTGCCTGCACTAGAAACACGCCCTTGCTTTTCCTCTTATCGATGAAAAAAAGCCAACACTAACCTGCATCAACTGGCTGCCCTCTCCCAATATACGAGTGAGCCTCCCATACACCTCCTACGTTGTTCATGGTGCTGGTTGGGGACTTTTTGCTATGAAAGGAATTCAGGGTCACTTCTGTAGGAAGCCCACCCGAACAGAAAGATTATGATGGGTCTCATGTAACCGCCTTTGTCTCTTTTCATGTGCAATTCCAGCTGCCCCACGCTTTTTCTGATGTTGTGTCTATCCTGGCTCTCCTCTACGTCTACCTCCCTGCCAGCAATCATATATTCATGATGGGATTCAAGTCATTTTTACAGCTGGCTTCAATCAGATGAGTCAGGATAACCAAGAAAACTTTCAAAAAATCCCTCATCAGTTCTATGTTACCTCGATTGTTTGCTCTCTGCATTTCTCCGCTCTTTGCTTTAGACATATCCAGTGTTACGTGTCATACAAGAGAACAGCCAGCCAACACCTAAGAGCATATAGCCAGTCTGTCCTGCAGGGTGGGAGCAAGGGAGAAACCCACCAGCGCTGGGAAAACCCTGCAGAGAAAACCCAACCTTGAGTCCAAGAGCAGATGGCTGCTGTCAGAGGTCACCACTGAACAGCATTTCAGTTTGACTTATGGGACTGCATACGGTTATCAGCTTTGTGCTGACCTCCACGAGCAGGACCTGGCTTTGGGTGGAGAGCGCTCTGCTATAACCCGCTCCCCTCAAACCAGCAGCACACTGCTGTTACGGTACAAGGGAGGAGGCAGGGAAGAGCTTCCATTTCAGACCTGAAACACATGGCATGTGTTGCTGGGCCACTCTGGACAGGGTGGGTTTGAGTGTGTTTTGCTGTCACTCTGTGCCTAGTAATTTAGGAGGGGCTGCTTAAGCAACACAAAATCAAACACTTTCTCTATTTTAAGGACAGCAGCTGTTGGTACCACTTCTGGACAACTCCACTGTTTGTTTCTGGTGCTTTTTCATTCATTACAACACACTTAGGGCCATTTCCGTGTAGTTTCCAAGGCATCTAGCTTCTTTCCTGGTATAGACAGCATCTTTTACAGACAATGTCTACGTGTCTAGGTAGAGCAGGGATCAGGACTAGTCACAGGCAAGGACCACAGAGATGACTGTCAGGAAGAACTACACACCGAGCACGCAAAGGTGCTTTTTATTCCTCCCCCGCCACTGTTTTCCATGGCTTAATATAAGCTACCCGATCGTCACCACACACACGGCATGCAGGCAGGCAGCGAACACGTGGCTGGCAGCACTGCCCTGCGCCTGCTGAAGCACCGCTCTGCTCTGCACAGCAAGGCAGGCTCTCGGGGCCAGACCCACAGAGATATTTAGGAGCCTAACTTCTATTTCAGACTTCAGTGGGAGGCCGGTGCCTAAATAGGAGTTGAGCACCTGATTACCTTTGCAGGTCTGGGCTCGGGCAGAGGCAGCCGGGAGGTTCTCCACATCCCCCGCCTGCCCAGGGGAAGGCAGCTCCGCTCCTCTCCGGACGGCGGTCGAACCGTGGTGCGGTGCGACCCTGGTGTTGTGAAGTAGCCGTTCTCCGACTGGCGACGGCCTGATTCACAACACCAGCTGCTGCACGGCACCCGAGGGGGCTTCTCCGCCGGGCTCCTCCACGCTCTGCCCTCCTCCAGGCTCTGTCCTCCACACCACCGCGTGCTGGAAAGCAAAGCGACAGGGTTAGGTCTGTCGATCCCACGGGTTATATATCCCTGCTTGTTTAAAATATGGAAGTGTGAAGGGTGTGCATCTCCAAAGAACAAAATAAATTAGAAATAAAAGTGGCGAACTAGCTCTGCACTCAAGACCTGCTGCTTCGTAGAGGTGGGCACTGCAGCACGATGCTGGGCAACATGTACAGCTGCACTCCTGCCCATCTCAGGAGGGATGGAAGCTTGCAGGCAGGGGAAGCAACATAGAAACTCTGCCAAGCCCTCAGGGACACGGGAGAAACAGGCTGCTTTGTCTCAGATACAAAGGCACTGTCTGAAGGAGAGCGGTGCCCCAGGGACCTCATGGCTTCCCAAGCACGACACCACCATTAACCCTCACACCCGCACCTGGTCTGCTCCTCTGAGGTGGGCGAGACCAGCACGTGCCCACGACGTTGCCCAGCGTGGTGGCATTCAGGAAGGTGTCCCCAGCCCCACAGAGTCCTGCTGGGACCCATGAATGTCCCAGTCCCCAGGCCCTTCATCCCCCTCCGAGGCACCCACCCCTCAGGAGCTTGCAGAACCTGATGGACACAACCCACTGCCGACCAGGAAAGCTGATCTTCTTTTAAAACCACACAGGGAGTTACGGGTTCTGGGACTTCCATATTGCTCGAGGGAAAAAGAAATCTCCCTCACCTGCACAGGGCTGACACTGGTGAGCACGCTGACTGTCGCAGCCTTCACGCAGCGTCTCCCTTGGGCGGGACAAGAGTTCAGTGTTACAATGCTGCAGCAATACAAGAACAGCCTTGGGCAGAGCACAGGTCCAGGTAGTTCTGCAGCTTTTCAAGCAGACAAAAAATTGTGGAAACAAACAGAAGCTTCTCCCCGATTCCCCTCAAAATGCTGCATGGGTGGTACAATGTCCTGCTTGAAGTAGTCAGGTCATTCTTAAGGGGCTGCCAACAGCTCCTTATTGGGCTAATTCATTCAGGCACATGCAAAAAATAAGCAAATAATAAACTTCATCCTGTGTATCACTGACTTTCCAAAAGAAAGCAAAGTTTCTGTGAATCAGCTCAGGACTATCCCCGAGAAGAGGACCCACTGCAGGAATCCTTATGCAAACCGGACAGAAAGCGAGCGATGTGAAGCCTAGCAAACCTCCAGGGAGAGACTGCTGGTTTTGAGTCATTCTCCTGAAATGGGGTTAGATGTGGAGGCAAAACTCCCAACCCTGTTGGCGAAGTGCCATCCTCCCCATCCATGCCCACTGCCCAATTTAATCCAAAGGAAACTTCACACATTGTCTTTCCCCTGCAGAGAAGGGAGACGCGGTCATGTTTAGTCCCTGGCCCAAAAAGCAATTAAGATACGCACCAACAGAAGATACCCCAGAGAGACGGGTGACACAATTTAGTTGCTGTAGGAAACGGAGCTAAACTTCTTGACACGTGTGTACGTGTGCACACTTGGAAAGCCTCAGTCATGTTGTACTAACAGAGATGTTATGTAAAGAGCAGTTTCTGGAATTCCAACATGTTGAAAAAACCAATGTACTTATATTTTATGCGTATCTATTATTCAGCCTTCAACCCTGAAAGCTGAACTCGTGTTGTGGCTGGTGCTGATCAACGGTGACATGATAATGCCGGATGAAGGTGAATCGTCTCCCCCGAGCAGATCGTTCACCACGCGTGGTGGCACTGAGCACACTTGATGAAGCACGTTGTGTCACACACAGAGTAATGCCAAATACTTATGGTATGTTCTCTGTTCCCTGGGAACACTAAAGTCTGCCACTAGTACTCTGGGTGGGAAAAGAAAAAGAAATGATACGAGCCCTTTTCAAGGTTGTTTAAATCCTCCTGAAGCCTTTCATACAATCTGCACTGAAGTTTATCAGACTACTTCAAAAAAAGCAAGCTATTGTATATGCAGTGCCTGCTCCCTGGAAGAAGCCACATTAAAAGCCTTTTTGAGTAAAAAACATTATTATATATTGTACAAGTGAGAAATGAACACTTGATCTACTTTCTCTTCCCATAATATACCGAAGATGGACACTGGTTTTCTGCTTCTTTAGCCCCTCAGCCAAACAGTCTGACGTAGTCTCAGAGTACCCCTGAGCTGAAATTTTAATATTCTCCCATTTCTACTCAATTTTATTGAGTCATCTACCGGCAATAACTTTCACATTCTTTAACGCTACGTGGTTTGAAAGCTTTCCTACGATTTCAGCTAGGCCACGCATACAGCGTACAACCTCCTGAACAGCTGAGAAACCAGCAGCTAGGGAACTGCACCCCCCCATGCGGTCTGGAAGCTTCGAGGAAAACCACCAAAACCAAATATTTACATGAGGATGACACTAGTGCATTAGGAGAATAATCTCATCTTCTATAAACAGGAAAACAAACTTCTCAGTTTGGGGGGGAAAAAACCCAACACACACACACAAAAAACACCCCAGTAACACAGATAATCTTGCCTAAGAATTAGCTTTTTTTTAAAAAAAATATTTAGAAACAGGAAAGCGTAATGAGAAACCGTGCCAACGTGCTGGGTTTTGTACGGTGAGTTTCCAGGCGGTGAGCAGGACTTGGGCGCGGGGTCAGCACAGGACTCAACTGCAACCCCACCCCACAAGGTTATTACCGCCCTTAATATCCCACACAAATAGATTTCCTGGCTTTGGTCACAGCAGTCTATTAATTCAGCCCTCTTGTCTGGTACATCTTTATCCTCTGCAGGTTAATCCTGCCAAATTCCTTTGCTGTAGTACATGTCACACAGCATATAATATCCAACAATGCAATTTTGCTAATCCTGTTTTATCAGCTTTGTTGCCCTGTCTGGTCAATCCAATAGCGAAAAACTGCACATAAGGTTTTTGCCAAGATCTCCCTCTCTTTTGCCTCCCCCCCCCTTTGTATGGTTTCAATTAAATGGTTTGAGAGCAGAACATAGCATTTGGATACCCGCCAATGTCATTCAGAAGCAGAATGTCAAGGCACTTAATTATATAGGTCTCCCAATTCTTTCAGGAGCCCCACCTACCCAGTCAGCTGAATTTACTAAATGCAAGTGTAAAAAATCAGCTCAAATCTCTTTTTAAAACACTCTCCACGCATTAAGGACTTGAAGATGGCTGAATAGCGATATATTTATCGCCCATTATCTTACTAAAAGATTAAACAAATGAGTAAAGACTGTCTCATTAACAGTTCTTTGTTGTCTTGTTTACTGTTTAGTGGACTCATTAACATTAATTATTAGAAGAGGAACATCAATTATTGCAACAACCTTTGTCAAGCCTAGCAAACTGACTGCTAAACAGCAAGCAATCCATGTTCACCAGGCAGGATTTGCATGGACAGCAAGAAGGGAAAGAAGAGACCCCTGAAATCCTCGACCTTGCTCCAAGGCAGCAGAGATCCAGCGTCGCTGGTTAATTCTGGCATCGGCGGAGCACCCTGCTCAAGACCTCTAGACAGGGAATAAAAAGGTGAGTAAATTCTGAGCTTAACCCCCAAAGACTGGCTTACCCAGCAATACGTGGTGAGCTGTGAACAAAGGGATCCCCGCTTCCCCTGGCGCTTGCCCGGCTGTATTTACCACACTAATTACTTCAACGCAGGGAGCAGCCCTTTCTCCCCCTCGTCATCGGCGCAGTGCATGTGCTTGTATAAATGTAGCACAGACTGCGGCATCGATTTCGGGATTCTCTGTCAACCCGCTGCTAGAGCTGGCTGCTTTGCTACCTCAGGTGAAGGGCATTTTCACACTGTTACAAGATCTTAGGGCTTGGGCTCCCCCCTCCTCCTCCTCCACCCTCTGATTTCTTTTTCCTTTGGAGAAAACCAGCCCCAGGTGGAGATCTCCTCTGCCCCAGCAGGGATTCAACACTGCATCAGTATTTTAAAGACACCATACATTTCAGCAGCTCTGGCAGGAGTTAAATATCAGTGCTGCCACATCCATTATTTAAGATACGGTGAGGAAGAAGGCTGAGTCACTAAGCTGGATCTGTCACCTCTGACACAGTTTCTCAGCCTAAATACAAGTGCCAGCCTGTGCCCAAGTACGAAACGAACCTTTTCAGAGGGACCCTGAGCCAAATCCAGGCCACCTAAGATTATATTTACATACAAACAGAAACAAGGGCAGCTAAGCACTGTACTTTTTGCAGATGCTTCCACAGCCACACGCTGTGAGCCACCGAGAGGGAATAATGCAGATCGCTCCTTACGCCATCCAGGTTTTAAGGAAAAAACCTTTGCAATTTCTGAAGAGCTGCCCTGCGACAGCCGCCCTGTGCTCGGCATCGCCAGCAGCCTTCCTCCTCGCACCACCACCACCTTCCCCTTGCTGCCCCTCAGAGTGCATCGGCTCTGCCTGGATCTCCCCGCTGATTAAAACGTGAAACAATTAAGCTGGTTGCTAAATTAGCGATTCTGGCCCTACAGCCTCCTGGCCGGAGAGAGGTCCGCAGAGACAGCGTAGCCTGTTACCTCGGCATGAATTTGTGCTGACAGGACAGTCCATCCATCTTCACTTCTTTAGACAGCTGTGCTTACCTAGCAGAATGTAAACATCTCTGCACTTTGCTTACGGGATGAAAGGAAGCATTAGTTTCCTATTGCATTTCCTCCTACAAGATCAATCACACATGCGGGCTAGACACAGCATCCCTATGTTTGTAATTAATCTCGTAAAGGAAGAACATCACCTCTCAATCGATTGCTATATTTGTATGCAGCCTTCCTGCAAGAGAGGGCGTAGAAGAAGAAAATACAACCCGGCAGAAGAATAATAATCAGCTGATCCCTTATTAAAAGGCTGGTACGCGCTATATATGCACAGCAAGATGCTTTTTTAGTGAGCCGATCTGCTGTTGGAAACACCACCCGGTGATCAGTGTTGATCATTAACACCGGGGACTTCAGGATTGCTTTTAGATGTCCTGATGGAGGGACTTTATTTCATCACAGTGAAATTCAA